AAGTGCGATATGGTCTATGGTAAGTATGAAAAACTACAAAGTGTAGAAGTAAAACTATTATATGAATTTATTTAAAAATTGACAAAAATGAATAGAGAGATGAAAGATGTGGAGTAATATTCAGTGCGAAAGCCTTTCCTGACGTTTTACATTTGTTAAATGCATCATCAGGCAGGCGTGTAGGTAGTTAACTTTTTTAGGGATAAAACAATTTTCTCAGTGTAATTGTATATACTGTATATTGAAGCAAATATAAATACATGTCTTCCTGTTTTGCACCATTCTGACGCAGAGCAACAATGCTGTATATGCCATTTTGCTTAATTCAGTTTACATAGGGTAACATCCGCTATTTGTATGCAAAATTCCAAAATCCTCTGTGCAGGCTTTGCCGACATATCGAAACTTTTTTGACTGGACCATGCACTGCCATAGTCATAATTGGCCAGCCTTAAGAACACTACCCTAAGAAATTACCATACATTACGTTATACGCACTGCTTCAGTGAAGGCAGTGTGGTAATTGTTACTGACACGCCTGACAACACAACACATTTATCTATTATCATAACTGCAATGCACTTTTTAGATATAAATAATACATGTTACCTAGACATACATTTGGCACTAAAACATTCCATTTTAAACATCCAGTCTGTATTTATGTCTGGTTTCAGATCATCGGGGCCTTATCGCTGGGCCTACGTGGCTATGAGATTAGTTTAATTTATGAAGCCCACGGTAAGTTTATAATTATATGAATAAGTTTTTTAAAAGATTCTCAAGATTCTTGACCACTGTTCGATAGACAATAATTATTCATGGACTTTTGTTCAATGAATGACGAACACAATTCATTCTGAAAAATCTAGATAATTATAATCTACCTCTTATCCATTATTATGCCTGACATTTTCTCTCTCTTTTTTTTTTCAGATGACCCCTCTGTTCTAGGACATCTGTTCTACTTATATTGGGCGGACATCGCTGTGACGGGGCTGTGGTTCTTATTCTCTATTCTGCTCATGATAGGGGTCGTTATGGTCAGTTCTTTAATTCAATGCTCTTTATATAAACATTGTCAGCTAAGGTAATACGACATGAGGTTTTATTCTGTTATCAAAGTTTTCAAGTTAGCATTCCAAGAAAAGCCTACATAACAGGAGAAAGCTACATCTAGTATTTTGATTGAACTTGCGCCAGGTTTAATGAAATCTGTTGTGAAAAATTGAAAATCTTCGAATAGGCAGCGATTAAAATGCGCTGTTATCAATATCCGATTGCGAAAAGAGATCAATATTGTGGAAACAAGATGTGTGGGTGTGGTGGGCATGGGGTAAGGGTACAGTGGAAGGCTTCAGTACACAAAAAAAACCTTTTTGTGGATCATTTCACCCCAGTTATATATCAATGTGTATGTCACGGGAGGGAGGACTGCTATGTTTACCTTTAGTTTTCGTATTTCAGGACATCCGCGGGATGTTTTTACCGTGGATGATTTTGACCGCGGTTCTCATTGTTTTGCAAGCGATTAATTTGATCCTGTATTTCCTTGTCATTGGTAAGAAAAAAGGAATGACCTATAATTGTAGAAAATTCGTTTATACAAAACATGACTTCTAATAGTACAGAATCTCCCAAAACATTTTTCTTTTAAGTTCAGTAATTTTTTAGCCAGTGTTAAGTACTACATATACATGTAGGAACGCTATGCCAAAGGTTTTAATCAAATATATATGCTGTCGATTATGTATGTAAATCCAAGGCCTCGTATGTAAATAATATTTATTCCTACTTTTTCTTGTAGCTCTCGTGTTTACCAACCCAATCACGGTAGTGGCATTTATTTTAGCAGTGGTAATAGTTCTTGTTAGTGTAAGTTTCTCTCTCTCTCTCTCTCTTTTTCTATATGTGTGTGTGTGTGTGTGTGTGTGTGTGTGTGTGTGTGTGTTTTCTCTATATAAACACTGTTTTAGTAACTGTCTTTTTTGTGTTTCAGATTTACGCCATGGTGTGCGTCTCGGCACATTACAGACAACTCTCCACCTTGCCAGAAAGCATTGAAATGCGGCCTCGCTACCCAGGAAGACACGCCATCTGAAAGGAAAATGCCACCACTGAAGTTCAGCGCGCCCAAAATTAGTGTATGCCCAACTTTGCCAGCTGTCAGACACTTTCACCTCACTCTTCTCTTTTTGCAAATTTATTTTTACAAATCTCTGTACAGGGAGTGGAATTTTTATTTATTTGTTTGTTTGTTTGTTTGTTCGTTTGTTTGTTTACTATTTTGTTTGCATAACATTAACTTCCCAACAGCGGCGCTTTGTCAGAGAGTAAACTTTTGTAATATTTTCTGATTTTTTATAATGTAGAGTATTGCATTATTCTCGAATTACTCAAGATCTAGACACAAATATTTGATAAGTTACGATATGTATCATAGCTCATTATTGTTATATATTCGTGAGTGGGATGACATGTTTTACGGTAGAAGATCCATTCCTTAATACGTCTATCTGCTAAATATACCACATGGTATACGCTTTTGGTATTATTAAAATTTGTATTAAGTAATCCATTGCAAAAAATATTTCCGTTAGTAGTCCCTTACCTCTTCACTGAGGCAGTTTACATGAGGTAATCTCCATTTGCTTTTGTACACATTGAGTTTTATTATTCAAGATCTAGACACATAGATTGGATAGGTTACAATATGTATCTGAGCTTATTAATGTTATATATTTATGAAATGGCATGTTTTATGGTCTACGATACTGTTTGTATATATATATATATATATATATATATATATATATATATATATATATATATATATATATATATATATATATATATATATATATATATGAAGGATGGACCACTTTTGCCGTAGCGCTACATACATGTAGAACTTATTTCATAAAGCCAAGGGTCTTATTTTACTCATATGTTTAAATGGATTTTGCGATTTTCTTCCCATATATTTTTTAATGTTTTTTTTATATATGTTTTAAATGTTTGTAATTTTTTTAATTACATAGATAATGGTTAATAAAACATGTTTTGTATTAATTTAATATGTATTAGAAATTTAAGTTTATTTTCTCATGTATTCATAATCATTTGGTTAAAGTATTTAGTATGGTGAGATGCATATGGTGATCGCATAGTCAGCTGAACATTACCACATAATCTACCAGCAACTGCGCTGACATCTAGATCTGGAAAAAAAGTAAATTCATTACTGTATTGACTGAGAACGCAGTTGTAAACTGCATATACTCTTTAATGTAAAATGTGACACATAAAATTTTAGTGGTGTCGGTTTACTGACTCTTTAGTAAATGTTTTTCTTTATGTACAGTTAGATTTGTTGCTTTATTTGTGTGCTAATATATTCAAAACACAGAAAATAAGAGAGAAAGTAGTGAGGAAACGCAACAAACTGATGAAGGAATACACAATAAGATGAAAAAGGATCCATAAAAATGTCAGAGGTAACATCGTAAATGATTTTAATTAATACAATTTAATGTGTAATTTATGTAAATGGACGTCTATCCCCATAAAATTTTTAAAAAATCATTATTAAATTTAAATAAACATTTCTTACCGCAAATAATAAAGTCAATTTGATAAATAATTTAAGACAAGAATTAAATTTTGGATTCTGATAAAGAAATTGAACATACNTATGGACCACAGTAAGTCGATGAATATATTAAAACATTCAATTCTAAGTACCCCAATTTTTTCTCCCTTTACTTCTCCAATCTGCGACAGGAGCAGCACTTAAAGATTTTGTAACCTTTTATTTTTTACATTTTTGGCTGTCAGATGTATGTAATATAGGATCAGGGCCCCGTATCTCGAAAGCAACGGGCATTGCGACCGTGCGCAAGCGTCTCGATTCAATAACTCACCCATACTCGCCCCATATAATACTTTGTAGCCTCTATGTGATAACGCTATTCGCAGTACGCGATGCTTACGAGATACGTGGCCAGGTGTACGCTTTGCAGCGACAGTTAAAACTCACTTTTAAAAAGTCGATTAAAATAAAGATTATTTATGCAGTACCTGATATACGTGTACCAACGTAACACTAAAACTGGCTGCACACATCTAAGTCCCCATTTCCATAGATTTTAGATGGATCTATCCCTGTGGAGAGTCTCACTAGATTACTGTCAGCTTAGCCGGCTTAAGCGTCTGTCCCGCCTACTAAAAGCTGTAAGGGGGTAATTAAATATGGTGCGCGCTCGGCTGACTGCAATTTAGCGTGAACCCCCAGGGAGTTAGGTAGTTCTAAATCTTAATCTCTGGATCGATCTTAATCTCTGGGAATGCACCCTAATAGTGGGCGGACTATTGGCCCTTGGTTTCTTAACACCAGTGAACGCGAGATTAATAACCGGGCCCTTAAGCTTGTACTACAGCAGTTGCAAAGAAGAAATATATATCCAAGTGACATTTGACAAGGCTCTACTTGATATCGTCAGTCACTTCCGACTTAAAAAGTTCATGATTATATATTATTTCAACAACCTGCTGCTGGTTAGTGTACGTGCCCATAAACATTGAAACACTGCCTAATTTATCAACCGCTAGGAATAATTTATGTTAAGTCGTTGTCAGGAAGACCGCCGTGCCTTGAGATTATTGCATGATCCACCGAGAACGTTGACGTATCAAGAAATACACTGCATGCCCGATGGTTATGATAAACAAGGTCAGAGAAATAAAGGATAGGCTAAAAACGTGCCGTTATGATCGTCTAGGGTACCCCAACCAGCGACCTGACGTCACAGTACTAACCGGAGTGATGAATTTACATTTGTTTCGGGAAAATCTATTTTAATAATTCTTATCCATTTTAGTAATTAGAATTACCGCAGTGAATTTTGCGTAATACCGGATGAAATTCAACCCCGGATATGATCTATACCTGGAGCGTTATAAAAAAGGGATGCATCGTTGTGCAGTAAACATTCGTCAGGTTATTGTGCTAGATTAAGCCGTTTATCGCTAATCTCTTGTTAATAATTTTATTTTGGTAATTACAATCATGAAGACGTGTTGTCGCTGTATGAATCTAAAACAGGGCTCCATTGCAAGTGCGATATGGTCTATAGTAAGTAAAATCGACAAACAATAGTGAAACATTGGAGAAAAAAATTGATTACTAAAAAAAAAGCATATACGGTAGAGATGAAGGATGTGAGGTTTTTTAATTGTCGGAGTATTTTCTATTGTTATATCAAAGGTATCACCTTCAGGAGGTGTGTATAATCGGTGTGAAAGAGGGAGAGGGGGGTATAACAACAAAAATACATGTAAATTATTTCCATATACCCCAGTGCTTGTAGTGAACATCGGGTTATTGTAGTGTCGGCCTATATGACGTCAGCGACGTAACATTGTACGTGTTTTGTGAAAAGAAAATTAGGTTAAAGAATTGGACATTGTTCTGAATCCCCCTCCCCCGCTTCTTGTACTTTGGATTGGCTTGCTTTAAAAACTGCTTGTGGTGGGGGGGGGGGGGGGGGTTAAGCCCTATATATAGACCCTTGCACACCCCCTACGACTACGTAGTGGTGCGACAAGAATGGTAGTCCATATAGTCCATTTAGTGCAGGTTAGGGTTAGTCGGAGCATGGGGTAAGCTTATGAGACGAATGACACCGTTACAAAGTAATGGGGAACGGACTACGGTTCCCAGCGGACTACCATTCCCGCCACACTGCTCGAAAATCCGATACCACAATCACAGCACTGCATGTCAGCTATGGCTGCGGTCTCATTTCACATCAAAACGTCGAATTATTTTAACTATCAGAATTTGAACTTCCTGTGGCATCTATGTCTGGTTTCAGATCATAGGGACCATAGCGCTGGGCCTGTATGGCTACCTGCTTAGTTGGATATATATAGTCCATGGTAAGTGTAAATAAGTTTATAAGTGATTCTCAGACAGGCAGTTGAGATTATATTCATTTGGTTATATTAATTTATTTATTCACTGTTATTTAATGAATGACGAAAGCGAGAATTTCTGTAGGTTGGTGATGAATAACGCACCATATAAAGCTACGTCTCATGTAATATTATGTCCGACACTTCCATGTTCTCTCTTCCAGGTGATGAATCTGTTTACGTAAATGAGTTCTACACGTACTGGTCGAAAATCATTCTGATGTCGTTGTGGATCCTGTCCTCCATTCTTCTCATCATAGGCGTGGTTAAGGTCAGAGCTGAATCACTCTTAAACGACATACGAGAACCAGTTTGTTTAAATTCAGTATTATTTATATACAGTGTATATGAACCCTATTGTAACTTTAATTTAATAACACAATGGGACACCGCTTGAATTTTTTTTTTTCGTTGTTAATGTTAATCTGAAAGCGGTGGTAAGGCAAGCTTATTCAGTGTAGTTTTTTATTAACAGTCTAAGATATGCTTATAGATGAACGGAGCTTATTTGTTTTTAATTCCACTAAGCTATAATAATTTATTATGTAGAGTAGGAAAATCTTCGAACAGATAGCAAGTGCTTTGGTGTCAGTACGCAGTTGTCAAACTCCACTTTCTAAAATGGGTCCAATGTGTTGGGTGGGGGTGGGGGTGGGGAGAGGAGCTGGGGGTGGGGACGGTGTCAGTACTTTAAACCAAATATTAATTTTTATAAATTATTTTTTTACTTTTATATACCGTATTTCAGGGTATCCGTGGTATGTTTATTCCATGGATGATTATGGACGGGATTTTCGTCTTTGTGGAAGGCTTCAGCTTGATCCAATCCTTCCTTGCAATTGGTAGGTATAACATTTATACTAACCACGACTGTATACAAAGACATGATCACTGCCATGACTTCTTGCCTGGTCTAAATACACGCACGTCCAGTGTGCTTCAAGATACTTGATGGCTCATTACATGACATATGCTATAGGATTTCTCCGTACTTTTTCATTTTTAGATTTCTTATTTTATGTCCAGTATCTTAGTACTTCGCACAGACACGCAAGTGAAACATTCACAAGTGTAACATTCTATAACGCAACGGTCCTTCAGTTAAAGTCTTTATGAAGTGGTACATGTAGTAATTAATTTCATATAGTATATAGGTCTCCAGCCCTTAATATATTTCATACACAATCTCATTAAATGGTTATGATAAAATTTGTTATGCCGAAATTATGTAAAGATAGAAGCGATACAAGAGTTTTAAAAATATACCAAATGACAAGGATTAAATTAAATGATCTTGATGAAGTCTGAAATTATCATAAAAAAAGTTCAGGTCGAATTGCTTCTTGTATATTTTTGTGAAATCTTTTTTTGCATAATACTTTTTTTCATTCTTTTTCATGAAGCCTGGACGTTAAGCAGATTACTTCCGGCAGTGTTATTCTTTCTATTTTTGGCGTTACTTCTTATCGATGTAAGTGCTCTCTCTCTCTCTCTCTCTCTTGCGCGCGCGCGCGAGTGAGTGTATATACTGAATGCATTTTTAATTTGAGTGCAGTCGCAACTAAAACTGATCCACAGAACTGTTGGTCTTCCGATCAGCTTCTTCTGATTGCGCCCTTTTAGTATTATGCATCGTCCCTCATTTTTAAAGGAATTTTTAAAAGGAGTCGTATTTATAGCCATCATTAGTAGACGTCCTGTTTTAGAGTAACATTTGGCTTACTATCGTGTTTCAGCTTTACGCCCTGGTGTGTGTCTCGGCATATTACAGACAACTCTCCCCCGCGACAGGTGACACTGAAATGCAGCCTAACAACCCGGAAGAAGACGCCATATGATATGATCGTAAAATGTCATCACTGATCGATGAAGTGCAATGTGCCCGATAGTAGTATAAAATATACGGCAAACCTCCTCAACTTCATATGCAAGGCAGCTTTACTGCTGTTTCCGCACGATTTCACAGTTTTGAAATGCTTTTCGTACGTTTTCCAAGTTAACGCACGACCCACCATTGTTCCTCACTCCAACACCGATATATTGTGCGTTAGACGAATGGAACGTCGGTACTGCTACTTAACGTGCTCGGTACTATAACAGGCCTGTGTGTGTTGAACTCTCTCCATTGATCAAAACAATCACATTTGTACATGTAAAATGCTGTCTGTGCTGAATACTTTTCAACTTACAGGCCATCCGGGCCACCAGGGTCTGAGAATCTACTGGCAGGCTCCATTTTTCCAAAAAAATTTTGTTTATTTAAATTAAATTAACACATTTAGATTAAACAGTCTTTCTTTTACAAATAAGACATCTAAAACAAGGAAATTTCAAAGAATTATGAAAAAAGACTTTAACGTTTGGCTGAATTGGAGTACATGTGACATCAGAAAAAATCCACTGGCCGGGTAAGACCAGTAAATGACTGGTTTTCAGGAATCAACTACCCGCTCCAATTTTTACTGCCATTGCAGCCGGGCCAGTCATTCACGTTGTAGACTGAAAATAAATAGGGGAAATCTTCACTGTTGACCGAGTATTATGTTGTCGGTACGATTTGCATCCTATAGGACTTAACTGTGACAGAATCGTGAAGGGATGGCATTTTTTTGTAAAGGCAAAATGACCCATTCCTTTATTATAAAACTTACCCTCTAAATATGCCTAATGTTTCGTAACATATTTTATTTTATCTTATCAAAATTTATGTAAGCCAAATCACTGAAAAGATACAGACCCCCCCCCCCCCCCCGGGCCAGTGTTTCAGTCATTAACCCCGTACTGGTACATGTACCCTTTCACTGAGTCAGCTTGCATGTATGTACATCCTACCTGTATGTACATATTGGGTTTTAACTGTTTTAGCTGTTCATAATTTTAATTATGAACAGCTCAAACCCGTAATAGAATTCAATCATGCTGCATTTATAGAGAAATTGAGGCCAGTCTTATCTTTTGCATATCATGATATTGAACTAATTTTTACATTAATTTTAATCAAGTATAATTTGTAAAAAACTGATTGTAATTTACATAGATATTTATTTACTTAACATGTTTATTTAAAATTCATTTTTGTATAATTCAGAAGTTTAAGTTTATTTTGATAAATAAAATATTATAGTCATTTGGTAAAGAATTGGGCATAATAAGATGCCGTTGACCGGCATAGTAAGGTGAATATGCCATAATCTACCATTACCTCAGCCTGCCTCTACATGTTAAAGTACATGTAGCGTCAGACCATTACTGGCATTGTATTGACTAAGGAAGCAGTTATAAATACACGTAATGTTCCCATTATATAAAAGCTGTGATTTGAGTTGAGTTTGAGTTAACATTGCTGTTAAGGGACGATGGTTAAGTCTGTATAATAAATGTTTTACATTATTCGGTTAAACGTGTTGCTACATGTATGACTCCTGTGATTATATATGTTCTAATGTGCTCTTTGATTTGACTTATGGCTATTTTTTTATCAGGACCCAAACTTTCATCCTTGTCATGGATGATTATGACTTATTTTTTATCAATTGGAAATCATTTTTCGAGGATGTTTTAATTTTAACATGGAAATATGTGGCAGACACATCTTTTTTATTATAAGAAATAACATTGTATGAAGTAAAAATAATGCTTGGAGTCGTTACCATTATCATTGTCATTGATTTTCTTTTTAATCTTGTCTAAAACTCCGTAATTTAAACCGGTTT